CTTGATAAAGAAGAGCCCTGGGTGTGGTTGTGTGCCAGCACGTCCCTGCGTCCTCTGAGCAACTGGCACCTGCGTGTAAAAGATATTAAAACAGGTGTTTGTGGGCCAGAGAGTCTTGTGAGAGAAGAGTAAAGGGAAACAGAAGTAAGTGGTCACTGAGACATGTCTGCCAGACTAGACACTTCAAACTGTGTAGTGAAATGTTTCAGACATACTGAAAAAGCAAAGTAGAATTAAAGGGACACCTGTGTCCCCTACACTCTGTTTTTAATTTTAAGATTTATTCGAGAGAGAGAAAGAGAGAAAGAATGTGCATGCAAGTAGGGGAGCAGCAGGCAGAGGCAGGGGGAGAAGCAGGCTCCCCGCCGAATAGGGGTTCCAACGTGGAGCTCGATCCCAGGACCCGGGATTATGACCTGAGCCCAAGGCAGACACTTACCTGAATGAGCCACCCAGGTACCCCCACGCCCCACACCCTGTTTTAAAAATCACATTACTGGGGCTCCTGGGTGGCTCAGTTGGTTGAGCATCTGACTTGATTTGTGCTCAGGTCATGATCTTGGGGTGGTGGGATTGAGCCCCACGTCAGGGTCTGTGCTCAGTGAGGAGTCGACTTGAGATTCTCTCTCCCTCTGCTCCTCCCCCCGTTTGTGCGCTCGCTCACTCTCTCTCTCTCTCTCTCTCAAATCTTTTTTTTTTAAATCACACTGCCTGTTATAACTATATTAACTGTAGTTAATACTAATCAATTACATTATTAGTAATAACAATAATGGTATAGGTATAGTTAATATTATATCATATACTTGGAAGTTGTTGAGAGAGTCGATCCTAAAAGTTCTCAAAAATAGAGTTCTCATCACAAGAAAAGAAATGTGTAACTATGTGTGGTGATGTATGTTAACTAGTCTTGCTGTGGTGATCATTTCACAATATAAACAAACATCGAATTGTTATTTTTTTTAAGATTTTTATTTATTCATGAGAGACACATAGAGAGGCAGAGACATAGGCAGAGGGAGAAGCAGGCTCCTTGCAGGGAGCCCGACGCAGGACTCGATCCCAGGACCCCCGGGATCACGCCCTGGGCTGAAGCTGGCGCTAACCACTGAGCCACCTGGCTGCCCTGAATTGTTATTTTGTACACCTGAAACTAATGTAACGTTATATGCCAATTTTACCTCAATTTAAAAAATCATATTTCCATTTTGCCTTATTTGCTCTAGATTTTTAAAATAAAATGTTACCAGGTATCATTACAAGTTCACAGTACATACCCCTTCCTGGACTCTGTCCTTTCCCGTCTCTTTGGAGGCATCTACTGTCCTGAACTTACTTTCTCCCGCGCTACCCTATTTGTGATCTTTATCCATCTTGACTCTGGGTCACTGATTTTGAGTTTTTTTGTTTTGTTTTGTTTTGTTTTTTTGGTTGCTTGACTTTTTACTACTGTTCATCAGGGGTTGGCATACTACAGCTACTCAGTCAAATTTGACCTACCACCTGCTTTTGTAAATAAAGTTTTATTGGAACACAGCCATGCTCTTTGTTTATGAATTTTCTATGGCTTCTTTGCATTACAGTGGTGAAGTTGAGTAGTCATGAAAGAGACAAAGGCAGTGGTTAGCAGAGCCTTAAGTATTTACTTATTGGCCCTTTACAGAAACAGCCAACTCCTGCTGTAGAATTGTGTAGCACCAAAAAAAAAAAAAAAAAAAAAAAAAGGATTGTGTAGCACATTGTATTTATTCTGCTGTGGGTGAACATTTGGGTCATTTCTAATTTTTTAATTTTCTAAACAGTGCTTCAGTAAACATTTTTGTTTGTTCAGGATTCTCCGTGGAGTGTCTAGCTGGAAGCGAAATTGCTGGGCTGTAGGGCATGTGCAGCGTTTTATCGGATATTCCTAAATTGGTCTCCAAGGTGGGTCCGCCAGTTTGCACTCCCACTGGTGGTGGGAGACCTTCTCTCCCTCCACATGCTTGCCAGCAGCCTGGTATTTTAAGACCTTAAGCTTGGCCAGTCTTCTGTGGTTAAAGTGGTGCTTCATTACCGATGACCATCAACATTTTTTCCAGTTGTTATTGACCATTTGCCACTCGTCTTGCGGGAAGTTGCCTGATCCCGCCCTTTGCCCATTTTCCTACTGAGTCGTCTGTCTTTTTTCCTCTCTAGTTGGGAGAGATCTTTATAGTTGGGGTGCTAGTCCTTTCAGTTACATGCGGTAAAGCCAGTCTGTGACTGGGTTTTCAGCCAGTCTGGATTCTTTATCAGAGCTGTGTCTTACGTCAATCTTGAAGGTGTCTGTGATCTGTATCCACACATACTTGTGTACGTGTGTATATATAATCTATGTGTGTACACACTTGCATGCACACACACACACACACACACAGATGACTTCTTTTCCGTGGGTAAGTTTGCAGGATTGAAAGGGTGTAAGGTTGAAGAAAAGCAAGTATTTGCCAGCACTGTCAGCGAGGTTGATTCAGCACAGATTCCCCAGCAGGGTGTTCACGTACGTGTGCAACCACCCCATCTTGCAGCAATTAGGGCCCCTTTCCGAGGCTGTCCGTCGGAGTGAGCTGATTGCTGCTGACACTTTGGCTGCGTACACGGGACCCACAAGGTCCCAGGGAACGCTGAAGGCCACCACGGTGGGATGCTGAAGGGTTTGGAGGGCTGCCTTGGACAGAAACCGAATGTGATTTGTGGTTTGGGCTTCCCCATTTTGGTTTTGGCTGAAATCAGACCTCGGTTTCATTCTGATCAAGTTGAACCATTCTCTGGCCCACAGCGATTTAGATCATTAAAACGTATATTTCAGACCAGACGACTTTTGTTTGACTTTACACTGGCCCATTATCCTTACACTGGCCCTGGCTTCCTCCAGCCTCTACCTTCTCTGACCTTTCAAGTCAAACTTCCTGAGTTAAATAGTTACGGATATTAAAAACAAAAAAACAAAAAACAAAACAAAAAAAAAACAAAGAAAGCCAGACCTCTGAGTCCTTAGGGTTTATGAAGCCCTGTGAAGTCTTCGAGCCCTTGCAGCCTTGATCTGTGTGTATCTAAATAGTAGCTCAGTGAAGCATGTGGGGAAGATGTATTACAAATGCCATCTTGCAGTTGAGGTCCACCGAGGAACACCACAGCGGACTCGCCCCTGATCCCTTAGCAGTCTCTGTGCTGGGCACCTGGCACCCCAACCTGGTGCTCTTCCCACCACATGTAATGCAAGTGTGGGCTCCGTTCATTATGCGACATCCAGTGTGATCCCTCCTCATCATGCCAGTACTGCCTCTGCAGGGAGGGCCGTGCTCTTGAGACCAAGACAGACCTAACTAGGGGAGCGTGTCTCATGTTCCCTGAGCTGGTGCTGCGAGTCAGACTTTGCATTGCACATTTGCTCACATGTCATCTCATTTGATGTGCAAATTAATGCTGTAAGCAGGGCCTGTCACCGGCACAGCTGTAGGGGCCCAGGCTCAGCCTGGAAGTGTGCCATGCTTGCTGTTATGCCTTTCTTGAATTTTTAATTTTCAAACAGCTGACCCCTCCCCACCAAACCCGCATTTTCGGTTTGCACTGGGCCCCACACATTTTGTAGCCAGTCCCATCTATAGATAAAGAAACCGAAGCTCGAAGAGGTGAAGTAATTTGCGCAGGATTACGCAGCTCATAACTGGCAGAGCTGGGATTGGACTGATTTCTACTTTGCTATTTCATTTATTGAAAATAGAGCTCTGGAATGAGCCTTGTTTGAATTGCACTGCACGGAACTGGAGCAAGGGGAACTGTGTTGTGAAAATGCTGATCTTCTGTGGAAATTTGCTTGTGTGTTGTTAAGAAGCTTTGTGTTGACCTCACACTGTTTGGTTGCCACCCTCTTCCTCGAGGGGAAGGACTATACCTGTCATTTCTTTTTGTGGTTGTTGTTTAAGATTTTATTTATTTATTTGGAGGCGAGAACAAGAGGACAAGAGAACACCTAGGGAGAGGGAGAAGCAGACTCCCCCGCTGAGCAGGGAGCCCGACATGGGGCTCCATCCCAGGGCCCTGAGGTCATGACCTGAGCCGAAGGCAGACACTTAAGCAGCTGAGCCACCCAGGTGCCTCCACACCTGTCATTTCTTTTGAGGTTCTGAAAGTGCCTAGAACCGGGAGCCTCACAGAGATGCTGCTCAGGCTGACCAAGTAGGTTAAAGGGCTTCTTTGATTGCAAAGAAATTGAGACCAGTGAGTTTACCATGGGGAGCCATGAAGATACACGAGGGGTTAAGAGGCTACTAGTCCATAGTTATAGAACCAGAAGAATCCCAACGCAGCTCTTGGAACAGATCGTGCTGTCACTCCGTGGGTCACAGAGGTTCATGGATTCCCCGACTCAGCTCCTCCTTCAGGCTTTGCTTCTCTGTGGGCCTTATGCTACCCATAAGAGATCACTTGTGACTCTCCCAGGAGATTCAGGTTTTGCCCCAGGCCCCTCAGAGGCAGCTAGCCCGCTTGGAGGTTAACCATGCAGAGTGAGGCATTGCCTTCTGGCCACATTGGTATGGTTACAGGGCACGGCCTGGTGACTTGGGCAAAGGAGCTTTTATTTTTTATTTTTTTTTATTTTTTTTTTTTATTTATTTACGATAGTCATACAGAGAGAGAGAGAGAGAGAGGCAGAGACACAGGCAGAGGGAGAAGCAGGCTCCATGCACCGGGAGCCTGACGTGGGATTCGATCCCGGGTCCCCAGGATCGCGCCCTGGGCCAAAGGCAGGCGCCAAACCGCTGCGCCACCCAGGGATCCCCAAAGGAGCTTTTAGAATGAGGCAAGGTAAGTCTTATCCTGTCCCCCTCATTAACAGGCCAGTTTTGCAGGATGGTCTTTTAGTCAACCATCCTAGAAGGTGACTCACTGCTTCCTGAGCGGGACACACTCCTGGTTCCAGGGATTCTCCATGGGACTTGCTGGCCTCCCTGGTGACCTGCTCTGTTTTCCCTTCACAGCAGCCAACCCTCTGCTTTGCTCTACCGCCCGCTACCACTGCAAGAACGGCCTCTGCATTGACAAGAGCTTCATCTGCGATGGGCAAAATAACTGTCAAGACAACAGTGACGAGGAGAGCTGTGAAAGCTCTCAAGGTAGGAAGCCTCCAAAGCTCTAAAAAATAATTGCATCACCATACGACAGTAACACCAAAAGGAAGAAAACAACACCCATATCCACTCCAAATACAACAGCCATGCTAACGTTTGCACTTTCCCTTGCAGCCCCTGTACACATGCTTTTACCTGTAATGTGCCTACCGTTTTGGATTTCATATTTCTCCTGTCTGAAGTATCACGTACACATTTTCTCTGCAAAACTATAATTTACCCCTGACTGCGTTGCATATAGTCAGGATGCTCTACTGTGGTTTTCTAAATTGTTGCATTGTTGGAGACCGCCTGCGCTGTTTCCATCCATTGCCTTACTCCTTTAGGATAAATTCTGCAGAGTGGGACATCTGCACAGATCATGGCTTACACCTCCACATGCAGCTGTGGGAAACAGTTTTTTCCTTTCTTTACATGGGTACTAGCATTGTCTGTGTGTGTCAATTTTACCGTCATATCCTGGGCATTCACTGCTGTTCTGTTTTTTCCATTTTTGCTAAGTTAGTAATCATAGAATGATAGCTCCCCAAATGCTTTAATTTGCATTTCTCTGATTATGAGCAGAGTCAACATTTTCCCCTGTGTGTTTGTTTACTACTTAGTTCCCTCTTGTGTGAATTGCCTGCTCCTATCAGGATTTACAATCTCAGAACAATTTTATGGAATCTGAGAGGATGCAGTTGAGGGGGATGGGAAGGTGAGCTCCCTAAAAAGCAGGGCGCCTACAAGGATACAGTGGGGTCATACCTCCTCTGTTAAAACTGGCCAGGCACTTTTTCTTCACTCATTGACTTTTCTGGTAAACACATATTTTTTTAATCTCTGAGAAATCAATTTTTCAGTGATCAAAAAAATATATAAAGATTTAAAAATGTACATCCATGTTAAGTCATCACATACTTCTAATGTTGTAAACTGGTATGATCTGTATGCAATCATTACTTTTTTCACTTAATTATCCTTTTGCTGTGATTCACCTACATTATTGTTTGTTGGTAGAGTTCATCTGTTTTGACTGTTACCCAGTATTCTGCTGTTTACCACAGTTTATAGACTGTGTAGAATCATAAGCCAGAAAAGCAAGAGAAAGGCAGCTAACTGGTTACCTCATATGTTGGGAGGCAGGCTGGATGGAGCAAGCTCCTTGAAGTTATAAGTAGGTCCTTTTCAAAGTCCTAGCCTTTATTTTGGTTGATGTTTATTATGTTATTAAAAATAAGTGAATGAATGAATGAATAGGTTGAGGGTAGGTCACACATCAAGGATTATGACCAATCCAAGTCTGCATGCCTGAGGGCCATAGGCAACAAAAGATTGATTTTGCCAAAACATAGATTTTGCCAAAATTTGTGCAGAGAACAGCTACAGGAGGTGAGTCTTGGGTAGGATTAGGTTCTGATTGTTCTTGTCTGGACAATCCTTTCCTTGAGTTTTCCTTTCCCCAGTGATTTTCAGAATATAATCTTGAGATAAGTATCATGTGGGAACTCTTTGGAAATACAGAGCTCGGGCTGCTTCTCTAGATCAACAGAATCAACCCAGAAAATGGGTCCAGCAGTCTGTGTTTGAACAAGCTTTCCAAGTGATTCAAGTATACATTAATTCTGAGAACCACTGTTTTATACTAACTTTAGAGAGGATTTTAATCTTGCCATTGCCTGGGAATTCTTTTCTTTTTCTTTTTTTGAGAGAGAGCATGTGTGAGTGAGTGGAGGTGGTGGGGAGAGAGAGAGGGAGGGAGAATATCTTAAGCAGGCATCACACCCAGCACAGAGCCCCACACAGGGGCTTGATCTCACAACCATGAGATTATAACCTGAGCTGAAACCAAGAGCTGGACCCTCAACCAGCTGAGCCACCCAGACTCCCTATTGCCTAGGAATTTCTCAACTACTGATTGAACAGTAAGGTGTTTCTAGCCTTTGCACAAAGTCAAATTTTTATAAACCACAACACATTCATTATACCTCCTATGGCATCTGCCATCAGCAGTGATAGATGTCAAGTAGGAGAAGAGCAGTCACAAAATCAAGTATTAGCATATATAGGAGATACAGAGGAACATTTTTGTAAATACTGTTTCTTATATGGTTAATTATGTGTTCATGCATCCTAGACTCACCAATGGTGCCATGAGATGTTCAGCAAAATGACCCCTCAGTCTAAAACTTGAAGTTAGAGAATATATCTTGATGGTTTGGGTTTTGCTAGCATCCCCTACCCTCCATGTGCTTATCCGTGCATTTTGCTGAAGCAGATTTTTTGCTTTCCCCTAAGAACTGTTTCTCTGATGGCTGGTTGAAATTTGTATTTCTAAGTCTGTCTCCTTTCTCTCTCTCTCTGCATTGTACTCTTATGTTATAAACATGCGATATAGGGTAAGTCAGTGGTGGACACATGCACACAAAGCCCAGCTCTTGGCAAGTACATAATGGAGTAGCTTTCTTTCACATCTTGGCTTTGTGCCTTCTGTGCCCAAATGACATCCCTGTGGAAAGTAAGCTCTCAGGAAACAAGTCCCATTAAGGCATGGGTGACAGCTGTCAGGTGCCATTTAGTATGACAGTCTCCAAGCAAGGGTGCCCATTGTGGAAAGGCACTCTTGCCAGCTACCAAAGAACAAGAAGCATGCCTTTTCCCCCGCCTTGGATCCCACAGATCCTACCTAGTAGCACGATGCCCTGCACATAGTGGATTCAATAAGTGCTATATACTAGAAAAGAGTTCTTTGTAGGGCGTTATGTTATGAAGCTGTGTTTATTTATTTGTTCTTTGAGAGAGAGAGAGAGAGAGAGAGAGCACGCGCATGTGTGTGAGCAGAGGGAGAGAGAGAGAGAATCTTAAACAGGTTCCATGCTGAGCACGGAGCCCGACATGGGGCTTGAGCTCACAACTCTGAGATCATGACCTGAGCCAAAATCAAGGGTTGGACCCCTAACCAACTGAGCCACCCGGGTACCCCATGAAGCTGTATTTAATTTGTACTTTATGTGGTATTATGCTATATACGTGTGTAAGTTTTGTGAGTTCAAGTATATACCATTTATTAAAATAATGAGTATTATTGCTGTTGTTTAAATAGAGTAGATGCTTCTCTCATTCCCTCAATGGAAATATGCCCTTCAGTGAGCCTGAGATGAGAATCTAGACCTGCTGGCTATTCCTCCTGTGATATGAGCGTCCTCCTGCTCGGGGTGTGATTTCAGTATCAAAGGGTATGCTTTTCTCTATCGTGGACCTTCTAAATGCGAACTGGCTACTAATTTTGGTGCTTGAACAAAGGAACACCAGTGTACCGGTGCTGGGGGGCAAACCCGACTTGTACTGGGCTTTTGAGAGACTGAGCCTCATGCAATGTCTTCCTGAAGAATTTCAGAGGCATCTGGACTAGTCAAAATATGGTCCTTATACAGCACAGGATTTGGCTCCTTGTCATCCTAATAATAGTGAACATTTATCAAGTCTTACCATGCACCAGACACTTTGCTAAGCACCTCCTGCATATGAGCTCATTTAGTGAGAAAATATCCTATCTGCTCCTCCTGGGCTCCCAGCCCTTGAAAAATGCGTCTTTGCTTTCAATTGATGTGGGAAAAGAAAATTATATTTTATAATGTTTATTTGGATGGAGTGCAGAGAACTGGCCCGAAGACAGGAAATACAGTGCTTGAAATACTTTTCTTCCGACTTGATGAGGGTATGAAAAAGCAGTGTCTCCACTTTAGAGACACCAGCTGTGTGTGCCTCTCCTCCCCTTCTTCCTCATCCCGATTTAGTTCCTGTCTTTATCCCTGGCCTTTAAAACTAACAACAAACTGTCAGGACTTGGAAGTGGGAGTGGACCGTGAAAGTGCAACCATTACCATACTTTTTTATTCCATCCAGGATGTAATAAAGACCAAAGAACACTGTGGTGGGATCGATTTTTAATTGAGGATTCACTGATTGGAAACATAGCCTGTTTACCAGATAATTCCAAAACCAGTAAGATGGAGCAGGCGTGCATGTGGCTTTTTGTTTCTTAGGAACACATCTGAGAGTCAGCAGGTACTGCCGGGCAGATGTTGGGTGTGGCCAGCACTCAGGTAGCCTCAGATATATTAAATTCGATCCTAACTGAACAGAGATTCTTTTCAACTTTAGATAAATGACTGAAGGTACAGGCATCTTGCAATGATCCTTACCCCCTAGGATTCACGCCTTGGTATAGTTCCATCCTTTGAATGTGATCTAGACCTTGTGACTTGCATGTGGTTTTTTAAAATTGTGTCAAAATACACATTATTGTAAACTTCCCATTTTACGCATTTTTAAGTGTATAGTTCAATGGTGTTAGATATATATGCATTGCTGTGCAGCTGATCTCCAGAACTTTTTGATCTTGCAAAACTGAAACTCTGTACCCATTAAACAGCTCCCTCTTCTCCACTCCAACCACTGACAACCATCATTCAACTCTGTTTCTATGAATTTGACTACTCTAACTCATATAAGTGGAATCGTGCAGTATTTGTCCCTTTGTGACTGCCTTAGTTCACTTGGTGTCATGTCCTCAAGGCTCATTCATGCTGTGACATGTGTCAAGATTTCCTTCCTTTTTAATTAAGGCTGTACAACCTTAACCTTCCATCATGGGTCTGTACAACATTTTGTTTGTTCATTCACCTGTTGATGGACGTTTGAGTTGCTTCTCCCTTTCTGGCTGTTGTGAAGAACGCCGCTGTGAACGTGAGTGTGGAATCAATTTCTACATTTTGTTTATTCATTCACCTGTTGATGGACATTTGAGTTGCTTCCTCCTTTTGGCTGTCATGAAGAACACTGCTGTGAACATGAGCAAGTCAATTTTTAGTAAGGGAAGTAGCAGCACAGTTGATTGAATGCCACTTCCAAGATTAGAAAGGACTTTGGCATCTGTTTTGCTTACTCGCTCCTGCTTATGCTGATGGGAGCTGGCCGCCATGTTGCGAGCCTCCTCACGAATA